TCACAGAAGCAGTAGCAATAAAACACCATGGATATCTGATATTATATTTATGTTTATATTATTACAAATTTATACAATTTTAGATAACATATAACAAACACAAATTTATTCTTTATCTTTGGTTCTATATTCTCGCAGAAAATGTTTAAAATTTTGCATCTTAATTAAATCATGCATGCTGCACGCAAGAGATCTAACACCTTCCATATCACTTTCACCTTTGCATGATGGGCATTTAAACTTGATTGGGATTGGCATATTTTTTCATGTGTAGTTTCAAGATAACTTATTCCTCTGACTGTTCAATAAACTTGATATTGGTTGTTCTTCCAACTATACCTTCACTAACCATGTAAATGTTTTTTCCTTGTTTCAGTATATTGTTTAAACTTTGAATAACTGTTTCACTAAATTTTTCAGTGAAGAGTTGCGGGAGAGGTGTTTTAAATTCACCACAATCCACGACTACTTGTTTTCCAAATGGAGTCTCCGTTTTAATAAATCTTTTAATTGAAAACCTTGTATCAATTTGTACATAACTTGCCCGAACATAAGGCACAAGATGAGTTTCTTCGTTTATAGATTTTATCAAGGAACACATTGCTTTACTTTTATGTACGGTTGCTTTAACACCACAGAACAACAGTTTAACACTATGAAAATGTGTAGCAAACACACGAATAAGAAATAATCCCCACTACTTACCTATCAGTAAACTCTAACATCATTGAAGGTCGCGCAAAACACATGAATCAAAACGTTGAATCCTGAGTGAGCCAGAACCAGCACTATTTAACTACTTATCACAAATTGCTTTATTTCATCCTAAAATTGAGATTGAAGCAGTTATTTTTATAAAATACATTAGCTATTTTTAGTTCAATTTTTCTAGATTTTAATACAGAATTATTTCGAAAATAATGTATTTTATAAAAATTATATCTTCTATCTCAATTTTAGGCTGAAATAAAGCAATTTGTGATATTTTCAAGAGGTTTGGCTTTATATTAAGCAGGAAATCAACCTAAATCAAAGTATTACAACAATATAATAGTTTAAATAATAGCCAAATGCATTGGAAATTAATCAAATCGTCTTATTTTGGACAGAAACGGCGAATAAACACACATTTCGTTGTTTTTGTTTTAGAAAGCCATGCAATTTAATGTATTTTAARAAAATAAGTACTTATTAGCTGTTTCCGATCAAAATAATACCATTTAAACAAATTCCGTTTGGTTTGGTTCAATTTAAAGCCAGAAAATATTGTAAATAAATGAATTTTATCAAATAAGTGTTAAAAAATTGCGGTTTCTATACAAACTAAGACAAATTTACGCAACTTCTAATGGATTTGGCTCAATTTTAAACCAGAAATCGTTTTAAATCAATGTATTTCAACAATGAAATTACAGTTTTCAGTCAAAATATAGCAATTTGAGCCATTTCCAATTCAATTTTGCTTTATTTTTCCAGAATACTGTTATTTTAGCGTCTATTTTGTTGAAATACACTGATTTGGTTCGATTACTGGTTTAAAATTGACTCAAATCGATTAGAAGTTGCGTAAACTGCTTTATAGTTGCCGAAAACAGCTATTTAAACACGTATTTTGTTGAAATACATTAATTTGTGATGTTTTATGGCTTAAAAACTGTTGGAATATAATTGTCTCATTTTGTTAAGAAATCGAAATTTTAACACTTATTTGATAAAATACATTTATTTACAACCTTTTCTGGCTTTAAATCGAGCCAAACCAAACGGAATTTGCTTAAATGGTATTATTTTGACCGGAAACAGCTAATAAGTACTTATTCTTTTAAAATACATTAAATTGCATGGCTTTCTTAAACAAAAACAACGAAATGTGTGTTTATTCATCGTTTCTGGCCAAAATAAGACTATTTGATTAATTTCCAATCGTTTTGGATGAATTTTAAGCCAGAAAACTCGGCAGTTTTGCTCGATTTGAACACAGAAGAGTGTTTATTCGTCGTAGAACTTATCAATAATAATTTAGTTTGCAWAACTTTAATTCTCCATATTTTGGCACTATTTGTCAAATAGTAATTTACTGTTGACGTTTGTTTAGAGAAAATTTTGACATTTTTTATTTCCTTAGCAAACTATGTGAAAACGGGTGTAGCTAGTAATAAATGTTCTGTAGTATTAACAAAAAGTCCATAACTGGAAAATTATTAAACTTAGATYTACGGAACATTAATACAGATCAATGCACAATTAAATTCTCTTCTATTTAGTAAAATAAAAATTGGGGTATTTCATTTGAAAAAATTGAGTTATGAGTATTTGAATTATTACAAAAGTAACTTTAAAATTTTGAGTTGTTTTTTTTT